GACGGGCTGCCATGTATGGCGCGAAGGAGGATGGTGATGGGTTTGGGGTGAGGGACGTTCTGCAAGAGGTATCGGAGGTCTTGTAGATAGGTCACGAGGGGCTCGGGGATGATGGCGAAACAAATAGACGTAAAGTGGTGTTAACATGAGAACAATAATTTGATGATTAAATTGATAGATGTTTCCATTGCACCTCAGCGTTCCTGGAGGTCTTTGCAGATACCTCAAAAGCTCCATCCTGAGCGTGATCTCCCACCAAGAGCAGTTGAGAGAGACATTTGTTCTGTGATTGGAGGCAAACAATTCCTACACCGTCACGCCAACTTGCGGATACATCAATCGACAACGGTCAACCTCTCTGTTCACATACGGACACAACGTTACAACCATGCCGTGGTGCATGCATCTAGCTAGTTGGCTACAAACTTCTTATGCAGTAGGAACCTTTCTTTTTTTTCGGAACCATCAATTCACTCCAACACCTTTCATTCAGTACTTGTGTCGACATGAGCTGACGCCAGTCACGTTACAGTCGGCATCACGATTTCGTTACAATGGACCTCGGTCCGAGCAGTAAAACATCATTTATTATATGCATCGATTCGGAAGCACTATTCAAATCCAGTCTCGATGCATGAAGTACCTTAAATCCCACACTGACTTCACCGCTTCCTCTTTCCGTTGCAGCCCATCATTTGCCTCTCTCTGACAACCACCCGACGGGGGCATCACAGAGATTGGCAGCTGAGCCTGATAAGGCAGCAAAGGTGACGAGAGCTGGACTGGCAGCTGGACTGGTGCGACGAGGAGGGTTGAGCGGTTTACTTTTTGAAAAGATGCCCGTGAGGCGGGCCCGGTTGTAGCACACCCCCCTCTTATAATTATTATTATCATTATTGTTCCGTTTCCGATGGACTAAAAAAGAATGAGGGGATCTGTAGTAAGTTGACGGTCACGTTACCATCGGCATCTCAAACGACGAAATTAAAAAATCTCATTGCGCGAAGCAGGGGTACCTGACAACTGAATCTAGGGGGTAGGGGTCTTGTATCGGGGAAAGTTGCAATGGGGGAATGACGAGCCCTGAGGACCGGTACTAAGGGGAGCATGCGTCAGACCCTGTACCACTCTATCCTCCCTTCCCCTCCCTTTCCCCCCCTCTCACCCTCCCCTCCATAACCCATACCCTCTGATCTCTTCATCAACTGATTCCCTTCTCTGCCTCACCGAATCTCTTTCAAGCAGCCCGCCCTCTCCATCACGACATATCATCACTAGCGAAATCCCCGTGCCTCCTACATAATCCTTCCTCCCATGGTCCGGCCCTCTGCCTCCCCCGCCTCCAAGGCCGTCGCCCTCGCCTTCGCCCAAGCGGTATGCCCCTCCCCCTCATCTCATCTCCTCCCTCTTTCTCTGCTCTAACCCTTCCCCTCCCCCCTCCAGGTCTCCCGAGCCGTCCCTGCCTCCTTCAGCCACCTCTTCATCCCCCGCAAGGGCCGCCTCTCCCTCTACGACGCCCTCCG